ATGAATTGTTTCTCACTTAAGACCAGAATATTAAGAGGTAACAAATCTGGAAGTGAGCCTTTGCTACTGGTGTCCTAATGAAAGAGGTGGCAGCAAGAGTAATTTTCATTGTGTTTTATATACTATTTTAAATAACATTGCACAGTTCTTTTCAAATGTCTTCATTTTACCTTAAAATAAAGGTCATGTTGAAACCTTGAGTTACTATTTCTTTGTGAATCTAATTTAATATTTGTACTTTGATATGTTGGGGTTTTTAATATTATTGCCTTCACAGTTTTACTTTCTTTAAAATTCTGGCATTTGCAAATAGGATCAAAGTAGGTGAGACATACAGAGAATATGGAGTTTAATTTAGATCTGTTTTCTACAGAAAAGATAGAAATCATATTCATCTTTGTTTTTCTTTTCGTTCTTGTTGTACTGAAGATTGAACCCAGGAGTGCTCTACTCTTGAGGTACATCCCCATCCCTTTTTGAATTTGAGTCAGGATCACTCAGTTGCTGAGACTGGCCTTGACCTTGCAATTCTTCTGCCTCAACCTCCCAAGTAGCTGGCATTATATGTACCATCGCCCTGGCTTCAGATTCATCTGTTATTTCTAATTCCTGTTTTGGAATCTGGTCTGTATAGACCTTGACTAAATATTTGTGAATTGAAGATAATACTTGAATCAGTATCTTCTTAAGAAAGTTATGTGACTGAGTCATACCAGAGTGTGCTGCATCTCTGGCTCATTTTATTGCAGTATTTTCTTCATACTTGATATCAGGGTCAGTCCTTAACTGAAAAAGATGAGCTGGCTATGGGTTTAGCATCCAGCAATCATCTCCTCATTATGCAAGCCAGGATACATTTCAGAGTTGCACCATTGAAGAAATGTATGTTTGCTGATGAGATTTTAAAGGAAGCCACACTTCATGTCACCCTGGCCCAGKGTTTCAATCATGCTCAGAACTCTTCTTCATTACAGGCCTATTTTTCTCCAAGTATCATTTTTCTTCTTGTGATTTATTTAAAGGTATATTTTTAGCTCCAAAATCTCACTGTTTTATCAGCTTCTGGTTGTRTATGTGGAATAGGATGTTGAATTTGGGGGGAGGAAGATGAGAAAGGGGGTGGGGTCTATATCTTTTTCAGTTTTTTAATTTTAACTTCTCAAAATCCCTTCCATTCGTTCCTTTACTTAATCATTTGCTGAACAAGTATATTGTGCCACTATAAATATCAAGTGGTACACTGGACATTTGGATTGCAGTACCTAGGGCCATATCTGGTATAGTCATTTCCTTTGTGAAGTAGTATACACACCCACTGTTTTAGTCAGCTTTTTCGCTGCTGTGAATAGAAGACCTGACAAGAAGAATCTTAAGGAGGAAAAGCTTACTTGGGGGGCTCATAGTTTTAAAGGTCTCAATTCATACAAGACCAGTTTTATTCCTTGGGACTTGAGGTGAAGCAAAACAACATGGCGGAAGAGGCKGAAGAAGGTGGTGGAGGGAAGTGGCTTACATGATGGTCAGAAAGCAGAGAGAAACTCCATTCGCSAAATACAAAATATATTTCCCGAAGGCATGCCCCCAACGACCTACCTCCTCCATATATACCCTGATTGCCTTCAGTGACCACCCAGTTAATCCCTATCAGGGGATTAATTCACTGATTGAGTTAAGGCTCTGATAACCCAATCACCTGCTTAAGAACCTGGCTCAGGCCCCTTTCTGCCATGCAGCTGTAACAGTTAGCTCTAATTCCACACAGAATTCTCCCCTCTTCATTTAASTCATTTGGGCACCACATCATTGTATTAGTTATACTAGCTGCTGTAATAAATAAGGCTTCCAATTTCTGTGGCTTAACACTCTACACATGTATTTTTTCATTGGTATTGAATAGTGCAGTGTGGTTCTGAATAAATGGTAATTGAAAGACCCAGGATAAGGGAAGCTCAATCATCATCCAGTCACCTTGGATGTCAGTGTCCAAATTACAGAGGTGAAAGAGGAGGAGAAAATGCATATAAGAGATTTTATGGGCCGGAGCCTGGAAATCATAACTATTACCTCCTTTTCCTCCATTGTCTATAACTCAGGCACATRGTCAACCCCACCTCTAACTGCAGTAGAGAGCTGGGAAATGCAAGTGGCTGGGTCCCAAAAGAATGCCTRGTAAGCTGAGTTTGAGGGATAATGATGAGTGTGCCTTACATAACTGTGTTTTTCTGCCAGTGTAGATAGAATGACTTGTCTTCTTTTAGTAACTGACTGTTTCAGAAATCCTTTGGGAATTGAAATGGAGGCAAATGTTTTCTTTTTTTCTTTATTTCTTTTTCAATGCAATGAACATGTTAAAAGAGTAGGAAAASCAAATATTTGATGGTTTTACTGTTTACTTGCTAGAAATGCATTCTCTTGGGAGATACTGCTCTTCTCCTTTGCAGAATTGCTCTTCTCATCTGGCAAACTAGTTTGGTGAACCAATCTCCTTGGTGAAATCCCTGAGCCTCTTCCTTCCATTGCTGYTTCTCAGGCACAGTTAGCAATTTCATGCTCAGGGTCCTGCTAGAACTCGGACATACCTGTGTATTCATTCATCCATTCATCCATCCAGAGAGATGGAGAGAGAACATTTGAAATCACTGTAATAGGATTAAATACAAGGACATATGGAAAAGGTGCTTAGCTCTTACCTTGATGGTGAGGGAGAAGAAGGCAATGCTSTTTATGGAGCAAGAAAGTTTGGTTCAGATCTCCTATTTCTCAAGGATGCTTTTTTCCCCCAGATAATGAGCTTTTCAAAGAAAAGAATCCTCTTATGATGGTCTTTAATACATTGCCAGACTTATGCTAGATGCTCACTAAGATGAATTTTCCAAATGAGGATGTAAGTGAATACCTTGATAAACTTTACCGTGCACTTTTCCCTACATTATTCTATGGAGTGCTCAACCCAGCTGTGTGTTATAACAGATACTCTTCTTTCTGGTTTATAAGCAGTGAACTTGGATTCAAGGAGATTTGATGTTTTGCCAGTGGCACATAGTAGGCTAACAGAATAGATCTCAAGGTGTTGTGTACCCAATCTTGTTCATTTTTCACTCTTGGAAACAAACTAATTTACATATCAAAATAGGGCTTTGAGATTGATAGTGTGTGCTTTGGGGTTTGAATCATCCAACCACTGGAATCTCTTGGAGTGATGAAGGCTGTTCGTTTACATTGAGTCAAGCAAGAATATTCTTTTTACCAGAAATAAAGAGATGGTTCTTCACCATGTTTTATAAGTGTGTTATATTCCTCCTMGAACAGATTTTTTTGTACCTAGTASGTACTCTATAAATATTTCTTAACTAATTGACAGTGATTTAAAATGTGTACATCAGATTTATCTAAATTGGACAAGCTTTCTGTTAGAAGCTGTCATAAATTCTACCTATGTAATCATTGTGTCACGGGAGATAAAATTTGCCTGTGGTGTATTTTAATCAAGGGATTTTTTTTTTTTTTAAAGCACACTAGCTTGTTTTTGTCATCTTTGCTGCTGCTTCTGTCTTCTAGCACTCACCTGCTTAGAATCCACTCAGGACACTGGGAGCATGGGCCGTCTGGATGCTCCTACTATCACAGGTTGAAACATGTTATAATAAAGTTGCTTTCGTGTCTTCCAGTGCTCTAAACTATCAAACTTTAGCATAGGGATTTATGACYGACACTGGTCACTTCCATGTCTGACTTATCCATATTTCATACCATCAAGAAATATAATGTCCTGATGCTCAGTTTATTAAAGTTGCAGCTGATGGAGAATGGAGATATTGTTTGTAGAAGTTTAAAATTACAGATTTTCACACAGATACTCTGCTTCAGTTCAAACTTACATGTCTGAAACAACCCTACACACCTCCCTCCCAGCTAACGATTGCCTGCTGCCGCCCATCTCACCCAGCGGCCGGCTCTGAATCATAAAGCATGTGACTCTTTGCTCTTTTCCTTTGGACCACTCATCTAATGTTGCATTGGCATCGAAAATGTCTCTGAAATCATGAAATTCGAGACCCTGTTTTAAATCCAAGTGTTGAGTGCCTTTCCTAATCTCCTTAGWGCTCTGAAATTAGGAGAAAACAGCTGAGAGACAGATCTGAGTGTTTACTRTCAAATCAGTTGGAGGATTTAGGTTAAAARATAAATAAAATTTTAAGGAAATTTCAATGTTAGAAGATATATCTCTTCACTATACTTGAGTAAGAATTTRTTTCATCATCTCTGGAAGCATTTGCTTTTTTCAAAACTCTGTAACCAGGAGACAGGATAGACAGTGAGAATTTTTCAGAGTATGTGGTATATAGAAGGTGGCTGATAAATGTATGATGAATGACAGAATGGACAGACAAAAATAGGATCCTGAACTCGGCTTCTATTTTTTGTTTTTGCTTAATAGGAATATTTTTTTCCAGTTTATTTTATTTTTCCAAGAGCAAGATGCATGACAAGTGTTAGATCCACATTTCACATTAATTGTTACTACAGAAACACCATTAGTGCCTCAGTCTACTGGCTAATGTCATTTTAATCCATAGGATATCCAAGAGTACTTYTGAAAGTGTCTATAATGAAGGACTTAGTGGTATCCGTGTTTAAAAAGAAACAAGTGAATGTCAGGAGTATTAGAATTTTAATCTGATACTTTTTTCCAGAATTCTAGAAAATGTCTTAAAATTTTTCTTATCCGCTGTTTGTCTTATTACTAATAAAGCATCAACAAAATCATGTTAACCATGCTAAATAAAAGTAGCATTGTAATATGTACACTAAACTTTGTCCTTCAACCATAGAATAATAGGCTAACAAAATGTTAGATGGTGAAGTTTCATGTGCYAAGCCAGGAGACTCAATGAGTGTTTCATTATTCTGGTGACTTCTYCTCGCAATTAATTTTGATCTCCTACCTATGACAGAAGTGAAAGATATAGAGTTACTTATTTTCTGTCTCTGTTTTGCAGGGAAAGATGGTGAAAGGAATGGGAGGTGCTATGGATTTAGTGTCCAGTGCCAAAACCAAAGTGGTGGTCACAATGGAGCATTCTGCAAAGGTACCGTGTACTCTGCTTTCCTAATCCTGCTTCTGGAAATTCACAGTACACCAAAATGTAGTACCCAAGGTCCCTGACTGGTTTATATTATTCAATGTAATAGCATTATAATTTGGAGAGAAAGATGACAATAAAAGTAGTTATTTATTACTATTTGGCTAAATGGTTGTTTAACTTTGAGTGAAGCCAAATCTAGGGGTGTTCTTCAAATAATTGCCTTTCATACACATTGAAAGGACAAGTTTTAATGTCTTCAAAGACAGTAAAAAAATATTGGGGCAGATGTATTGATTCTGGTTCTAAGATGATTATAGTTGTTGCTCACTGTGTGCAAAATGAGAAGCACAACAGAGTGTAGGTTTTAATAGCAGTTGTTTTCAGATGGACAATATGACCTCTTAACAGATCTGCAAGATGTCATTTCCAGAAGGTGTCAGAAAATGGTGGACATGGTGATAGCAAGTGTTCTCATTCTGGAAAGTATTTTACTTTAGTAAATTATGGTTATATATGGATTGCCAATATGTGCTAAGCACAGCTAGGCTTTGTCAGCGACCAAGACTGGGCAAAAATCACTGATGTCATGGAAGCTCGTTTTCAACCTTCTTTCTCTTCTTTCATCCTATAATAATCAGAGCTACTCTTTATTGACCTTTTCACTGTGTGTCAACAGTACAGTTAGCATTCTGCAAGTGTTTGTGTATACAAACCCATGACCACGGAGTGGTTAAATCACTTGCCTGAGGTCATGTAAGAGTGGATTGAGATTAGACCTGGGTGAGGCTCCAAAGCCTATCTTTCTAACCTTGGAGCTGTCCTGTCATTAATTACAACTTTCTTCCTTGTTCTCAAATCAATGTCTTTGAACCAACTAACTTAATCACTTTCCTGACCTTCACCACTAACTTCTGCTGATTTCATTRTAGCTGATATTGGGTGGTACCATCTTCATTTTCTATGTCTCTTTTTTATTGTCCTCTATGTATCGTCATCTTTAAGTTTTAAAATCTGGTTCTCGCTGAGAGACCTGCCAATCTGAGTGGACACTGTAGTATATTTGTCCTGYTTTTATTTAGTGATGCAGCATTGCKTAAGATCATGGAGCTGGAAGATTCACACTTCATTTGGCTCCCCTGGGGGAATTCAGTTACAAAACGGTGCATGCTTTGAGATGGTTTTGTTGGGAAAACTGCAATGAATATGAATTATTATAAATTGTTTAGTAAACAGTGGGAATGAGCAGTGGTGCATAAATGTGGAACAATAAAAATGGAGCCAACGCAGGTGACTTCTGAGAGGTGCCTTGCAGAAGCATCCAAAGTACTTAATTTCAGAGGTGAAAGGATGCCAAGCTTGCAAATCAAATCTATATCTTTTCTGGAACATAATGTCTGTTTGGAGAAAACTCTTTCCAACTTCTCTTTTGTTGTTACTTTAGTGTTGAAGCATAAGCACTGAAGTCTGACTTACTTTGGATTATTTTTGTGCATTCGTTTTCAAAACATTAAGCCTGTGTTTAGCACATTTTCTCTTTGTCTTTTTCTCTTTCCCTCTCACTCCCACTAAGTCTTTTCTTTCTCCTCAGCTAGAATTTCTGAAAGTGGAAAATAAATGGTACCTCATACTTTGAACCAGAAATCCCTTATTAAAGCTTTCTCCGGAAGTAAGATAAATATTTTTACCTTTTCTTYCTTCTTCTTCTCTCGGAGGGGAAATTAGCCCTGAGTTTTAGAGTAGAATTGGAGTTTGGTATTTTTCCCTAGATACTTTCATTTGAACAAAGCAATAAAAAATGTACTTGTGGTTAAAAGAATTGTAATGGTTTGTGCACACATAATAGTTAGGTAACCTTGAAAACTAACCAACAGTGTCGCTTCTGACCACCCTCAAAATTTTACCTGTGCACCTACCTGTTCTGTTGCTGTTCGGTATTATCTACCTGAACATATGGACACTGGCCCAGCTSTAGGCTACAAGGGGACTGTGCCACATCTTTCCTGCATGTGTTACTTGGCTGTAGGTTGGAATGGAGGCAGAGAGGAGGCACCTCACTCTTGGTAACCTTTCCAGTTAATGACCAGTTCACAGCCGAAGGGAATGATGCCTAGTGTTTCATAAGACATGAGAGTGAAAAATTTGCAATGAAGGTTTAAAACCTGAGAAAAGAAGTATTATATTCTTGGGCCAACAGTTTTTTTTTTTTTTTCCCTGTGAGTGGGTGGACCTGTCCACCAGTTTTTTTAGGTGCAGCTTTCTTTTCATTCTTTTCCCTCATCTGTAGAAGTACAGGTGCAGATTATTTATAAATACATCATTGCCTGACCTTTAAAAGCATGCTTTTTTGTAATTGTTCTAATAAGAGAAAGGCAATTCTTTCCTTGGAAGCCTTTGCAACTAGCTCTTTTCATTAGGGTAGGGACCAACAACTTCTAAAGCCCCCAAACCTGGCTGCCTACTGGTGCTGCTTTCAACTGACCCCTGCCTTCAGATGACCTTTCAGATGTATGACTTTCAGATGCATGACAAGGGCAGGCATCAAACTGGCGATGTAGCATAATTCTCACTGAGGCTGAGAAATGAGGGTTCCAGGCAAAATTGTGAAGTAGTCAGGTTTTTTATTTCTTTTTCTTTTTTAATGCTCCCTTTTTAAAAAGCTTTTTTTTCTTTTCTTTTTTTTTTCCATCTCTTCATATGTCCCATCTTCTGCCCTCTAAAACTGGGAGGGAAAGGAAGGGCAGAAAGGAGTGATAGCCCTGGTCCCTTGTGTGGGGTGCTGGGCAGGGGCTACACAAGCTTAGTCTCAGTTTCCCAGTGACCCTCTGAAGTATTATTCAGGACTATCAGGATATAGATGGCTCAGAAGCTTGTCCAGGTAAGGGACAGGGCTAGGACTTTGATTCAGTCTGGTCCTGCCTGTGATCATCATGCTGAACGGTGCCACCTCTTTACAAAACTGACTCTGCATCAGCAGCTCCCAGRTCTGTTCTTTTCAGAAAGCTTCAGGTTTTAGGATTACTCCTTTCTTTGCCCTTGCTTTCTTGGGCTGAATTCCTTCTTGCTTTGGTGAGAAAGATATCAGTAAAATGCTTAAAGGAACACAATCCGAGAATACAGTTGTGCCCTTAGTACCTACCTTTCTCTCTTCCATTATTATAATCTTGCAAGTTTTACCAGGGCATATAGTAGCCCGGGGACAAACTCCCCTGCATATAGATACATTCGTGCCACCACGCTTGGTTCCGTGGGATTTGAACATTTCTGATGTCTAATTTCTGAGTCATGTCCTTTAAATACAAAACCAATGACTTAAACTTCCTTAGTCCTCGTTCTATCCATCTGATAAAGGGCTTAAATAGAGCAGCAGCCTTGGGYTCCAAGTTGTAAGCCACGTGCAGAGTGCTGCAAAGCTGCCCCCCACCCCAGCTGGGGTCCATAGGTGCCCTGTCCTTTTTTATAGCCTCCTGCCAGGACTCCTCAGAACTCCATCCTCGGCCCCCTTGTCTTCTTACCACTTACACCTTTCCTAGGTGCCATCTACTATTTTTGGAGCAACTGTTATTTTTCACTGAGTGGCTCCATAATCTTTTTTTTTTTCCACATCAGAATTCTCTTGATGAGATCTAGAACTGTATTTCTAACTACCTATCAGACAGCTCTACTGGGTTGATTCAGAACTGCCTCAGCTCCAGCACATTCCCATGTGTATCCATCCTTTCACCCAATTATGTTCTTCCTCTTTTTGCCCAATAGAGAAGTGGTGGTTTCCCAGTCCCTGTCTGAAGACACCCACGCCGCCTTTTGATCTTTACCCCCTCCCTTMACCGAGCACAGTTAACATGGCCTTAAATGGAGCCAACAAGTATTTACTGAGCACCACTGTACACAAAGCACTGTCCTACCTCGGGCTTCTCACAGACAGATCCCACCCCAAGAACCCCGATTTCTAAGTCTCTGTGAAAAATTTGTTACAACACCTGTCTGATGCCTGCATGTAGATAGATGGTATGAATGGCCAGAGGGATATTTTTGTTGCTTTGTCTTGAAATTTGATAGAATTTCCTTATATGAATGTATTGATTCATTGAGGACCTACTATGTGCTGGTAATATTGTGGGGTCTGAGGATATAAAAGCTGGTGACATGTGGTCCTTTCTCTAGGCAGCTCAGAGTCCCCTGGAGAAAGAGTCATAGAAAAGAAGAATTAACATCTAGGAAAGAAGGGTGCAAGGTAATGAAGAGCTTCCAGTGGGATGTGAGGAGCACTTCCAGGCAGGGCTGAAGGGTGCGGGCAGAGTTTGAGAGGGAGAGCGGGGTTGCAGGGGATGGAGAACTGGACACAGGGCAGTGTCTTATTATTTCCCTTCCAAAGACGGACAAGCTGAATTCCACAGGGATTAAACATGCTGATAAAAGTGCAGCAGAAAATGAAGCACCAAACCAAACCAAGCCTGGGCTTCCTACCTCTGGGTCTCAATTTTCTTTTACTAAAGTTTTCTGGCAAATGTCATCACCATGAACAACATAGAACGAGGGTTTTGTTCTCAATTTTGAGTATTGGAAATGTATTCCTAAGAGTATAACTTCCAGAGCACAAAAGCACAGAAACAGTCACACTTGTCATTTACTGTAAACAAGAGAACCTTGGCCACCTATTTTTGAGAACATAAATAAGGCCTGCATTTCTAAAACAGGTTTAGATTTTATTTTTATTACAGTAGGAGGTCTGGATTCTCAAGGGATAAAAGAATCATAATTATATTGTTAAGAAGGTGGGAGTAAATCTTAGGGAATGATTTTCTGATTTAGTTTAATCAGTGTCTAGTAGCACAGGTCTCTTAAAGAAATCTTGAAGACTATTTTCTCTTTTGTTTTCTGTGAAGAACAATCATAAAAATTTATTCAAGTTTATTCATTATATTTTTTCAGACCAAATATATTACTAAAAATAAAAAAAAAGAAAGTTTTATTGTTTTAATCCTTTCTTGGGAATCATTCCTGAG